TCTTTACTCTCTCAAATGCTAAAGGGATAGTTTCAAAGGAGGCTTACCTGCCAAGAATTGTTCTGATCTGTTGTATCATTACCTTGATGCTAGAGTTACACTCATATGCAGACTTCTTCCCAGGTGATAATATGCTGATCTGATGTACAGATTATTCTATATAGCTTCAGAAAAAAATCTTTGAGTACCCCCTGCATGTGACAAAGAGCTGGGTGAAGGTATCCAGGGAAATCATCCATTTTCTTGACCTCATGGAGTGCCATATCTGAATCTTAAGTGAAATGTTAATTTTCTGGTTATTTCAGCTTGAAGTGTGGAAAATGCTTTTTCTTTCGTGGATACTAAGTTGTTAGAAGAGATTGTGGCAGTCACCTAGTTCCGTTTCTTTCCGGTGTCATTGTGGGGCACCTGTTCCTGGCAGGTATTTGCTAGGCACTGGGGATGCACAGCTGTGTGAGACACAGTCATCCTTGAAGGACTCTCGGACCTCCTCCTGCCCTGTAAGGCTGGCAGTCCTTCTGATGCCATCTCAGATGTCAGCCTGGGACTAAACGTTTCTAATGACGAAAAGCTTACTGCCTCCTAGGACAAGCCACTCCCTTGTCACAGTTATGTGGCTTTTGGAGTTAGGAATGTGGGACCAAGGAGTTTAGTCTGTGCAGTTGTTTCTGGACTTCTTTTCCAAGGAAAGTCTCACTCAGAACACTGACCTATAAAGTGAGTACAGTTAGCTGTGCTCCAGGTGTGGCCTTGCCTCCTGCTCTGCCCCCTCTTGCTTCCCTAAGTGGCCCCTCTTCAGATCCTTAGGACTCTGATGAAATCAGCAAATATTCAGAAGGATTTTTTCCCACGTTGAACTTGTAACTGCCTAATTATTCTAAATTCAGACTGACAGCACAGTACAAGTCCACTTTGTCTACTTTGTAAAACTCCTTCAGATACTTGAGCGGCACTCAGCATGCCCCTTCTTAACCACGCCTCTTCTCCAAGATGGATGGGCCTTTACCATATCTTCAGGTGGCATGTTTTTAAAGTCTCACCTGGGAGGGGCTGGGGATTTAGCTCAGCGGCAAAGCACCTGCCTGGCAAGCGCAAGGTCGTGAGTTCGGTTCCCGGTACCGGAGAAAAAACAACAACAAAAAAAATAAAATAAAATAAAGTCTCACCTGGGAAATCGTGTTTCATTTCTTCCTGTACTCTGGAAACCGGAGGCAGAGCCCCTATTGCTATCTCTGGTGAATTTAAGGTTGGTTCGTACTGTCCACCCCCATCGTCAATGCTTTTCCCTGTCAAGCCCTTTGAGAAAGTTGTTGTCAAAGACAAAAAAAAAAAAGTTCCCTTCTTAGATGGAGTCATACTAGCAGTCCTGGTTCCCGTTTCAGGACCCTTCCCGTACAGAAGCTTTCTCTCCTCAGAGTCATCGAAATGCCTGTCAATGCAGCAGGCAGGCCGCGCCAGCGCACATCCTCTAGTTAACATTCTGTTGGCATGTTGAGTCTCATGGCCCACAGTGACTTCACTGCAGAGACCACTTGGCATCTTGCACAGAGCAGATGAAAGCAGCCTCCAAAGGGGAGCTGCCTCTCTGGCACACGCAGGCAGAGTGGCGTATTCCTGCATTGCCTAGAGTACTTCAGCCTCACTCAGCATCAGAGCTCTCTGCCTTTCGGGAGGGAACAAGTGGTTCCTAAAATAGAGTACTTGGCGTCTGGAACAGTTGACATCTGTACCCTTTGATCTGAGGTCCCATCTCCTTTCCCCTCTTCTGAATTGACTGTCCTGTGATTGACTGTGTTCTTAGGTTCAGGATCGTTTCTTCCCTTCACTTCCAGCCTCTTTCCATATTTTATGTAGAATATTGTGTTTAAATCTCATTTGAATGTAATTTCATGAGCCTTATGACACCAAGAAAGTATGAGTTGATGATGCCACTCTAGCATTCTGCATTTTGTCACATTTTACCATCTGTTCAACAGATGAAAAGTGTTAACTTTCTGTTCCCTTGCAAGTTGGATATTATGCAGGGCAGACAAAATAAAAGCTCTTGTCCTTGAGGCATTGACGCTGTAACTAGGAGTTCTTAATCTGGGACCTGTGGACCTAGAGAGTCTATGGCAAGCTTCTTTGGCTCCTTACACAGTTAGAAGATATTATGCACAAATTTTTGTATAATTTCTTGTACAGATTTTTCTTGAGTTTTTTTTAGGGTATCTAAGGCCAAATAATGGTAATTGAGCTACACACATCCTTTCATTAAGACTAATGGCAGTGTTGTGGGTATTTGTTTTTGTTGTTGTTATTGTTGAAGGACATTGCCTAGAAAAAAAAATCTCTTTTTTAAAGTAACTTGTAGCTGAACTTCATTTGGCCTTAGTCATCTGATTTTACTCACTGAACTGTATGTGGAGGCCAAAGGAAAACAAGTGAGTGCCATCTAGAGGCCTTGGCTGACAATTATTTAACAACTTTCAAAGCAGGCCCTGGCTCCTAGGAGTCTTTAGCTTTGACAACTTTCTAAATAAAGAACTAACTTTCTTCTCTTAAGTAATTGCAGACAGTAACCGTGTATGTCAATGATCCTGCAGTTGTGGAATCTGGCTTTGCTTCTCTGGAAATATAATTTTAAGAAAGATTAACATTGGAGATGGCATTTACTCTTTTATAGGAAGGGACATAGGAAGTGGGGTTGTGTTTTTTTTTTAATCTACACTGCATTGGAATATTGTTCTATTCACACTGCAATGTCTGCAAATTGGCCAGACATAGTAGTGTACACCTGGATTCCCAGCACTCAGGAAGCTGAGGCAGGAGGATCACTGAGTTTGAGGCTAGTCGAGGCTATCTAGTGAGTTTAAGACCAGCCTGGATTATAGAGTGAGACCTTATCTCAAAAAGCAAAAACAAAATAAAACTAAACTAAATAAATAAACAGAAGAACAAATTGGTACCTGATACATCATTTTGATTTAAAGACTTCGTTGTATTTTCTGTAAAGTTAAAAACACTTCAAAGTTTGAGTAATTCGCTTTAATTGCTCTTAATATTACTTCTAGTAAGTGATATGGGCTGGTATTTGCCAAGTGCTGTAGAAATTGGGGGGCTAAATTTGCCCTGGAAAAATAGATCAGACAATTTATATCCACTGGAAGATGTGACAACTGGTCTCAAGGCTTTGAAGTCCCAGCTTTGCCGTCACTTCCGTTGTTGAACACATTACCTTCTCATAATCACGTCTCCTTTTCATTTATTAGTGAAGGTGCTAGTAATAGTATCTGAGGGTTGTTGTAAAGATTAAATGATATAAAAAGTATTTTAACAAACACAGTCTTGTTTGATCAAATATTCGACAAATATATTGAACAGATTTATCAGCTCCTATTAGATAAAATAACCATTTTTGATTTTGGAGGATTGATACTGGGTATAGCAGTAGGACAAAGAAAGACATGGGCCTTACATTGTAGGAGGGGTGTTAGACAAAAAGCAAATAAATAACCAGATGATTTTCACAAAGAAATCATTGAGGTAAAGAAAATACACGTGACATACTAGAGAACAGCTGGAGGCCTGCTCTGAACTAGGTGGTCAGGGAAGAGCCTTCTGAGGAGGGGACATGGAAACTCTACCTAAATGTCAGAGAGCCAGCTGTAAGATCGGAGGAGTCATTCCAGCTAGAGGAGCAAGTGTTAAGGCCAGGAGTACAAGTATGCCAGCATGCACAGAGCCCAGCCGGGAGCCTGGAGGGCCAGGACTGAGTGTTTTCATTCTGAAGAGTGTGGGAAAAGATTGTAGATTTAGAAGCAGGATAGTGATAGGCCCAGGCTTATGTTTCAGAAAAATTCCTTTTGCTTCTCTACAGAAAATAGGTTGTAATGAAGCAAGAGTGGAAGCAGACCAGGGAGGAGGCTTTTTGCGGTCTAAGCACACAGCGATGGTGGCTTGGGTGAACACATTGGATTGATGGTTCAAGGATTTGGCTTCCCCATCAGCTCTGCAGTACAGAGGCAGTGTAGCATTGTGATTAAGAGCACCAGGTAGAGAACCAGACTGCTTGGTGTGAAATCTGAATTGATAACCATATGACTAAGGACAAGTTTCTTAACTTCTCTTTGCCTAATTTTACTGTTTCTAAAATGGGAACAATGATAGTATATTCCCCTTAGGATTTCTTGAGGATTAAATGAGATAGTAATAATCATAAAATGCTCAGAAGAATGTGTTTAAACTGCTGTGCTATCACTGACCACCACCATTACAACTACTACTTCCGTGTGATGCTCAGTACCTTGAATTTGCAGACAAGAAAACTTAGAAAAGAAGTAGAAAGTAGTTTTGAAGTTAGAATATAGGTTTCTGATTTTGAATCCCTTCTTTCTGCAATGTAACCTGGAATATGAGATTCCCAGAAAAGTACCTATTGATCTGAGTCTGTTATAAGCCCCCCAATTGCACATAACTGTGAATGTTTAAATAATACGGAGAAACTGGGAGAGAGATGGCCTGTGCCTGTTTTTGCCCTGTAACATTTTGTGCCATCAGAATTTTCAAATTACCTGAGTTTTGAAAAGTATCACACACCTAAACCAAAATTATTAACACGTAAATAATAATACAGGATACCGGGGGGAGCATAGAATTAAATATTTTGAGAACCTTGTAAGATAATGAATCTCTTTAGAGGGCATTCTAGTCTTCATTAATTGTGAGGCCACTCATAATATAAATAAATGAGATCCATGGATTATTCTTAGATTTTTCTGATCCGACTTATGGTGAAGGCATTAATCAGACTGCTACATTTGAATTTCTCTTCTCTCCACCTCTGTGCTTTGCCCAGCCTCTTCTGGAGTAAGCAGTGAGAAGGTGAGGATCGAGGAATAAGAGACAGAGTTAGAAGGAAGGAGCTTGAGAAGCTACCTGGTGGCCTTGCTTCTAGGACCTCAGCCCCACGGGTCCCTCCCATCACCAGACACTGAGGGCGGGCTGTTTGTCTGTTACAGAATGCGAACACTTGATCCGCCACATGCTGGTGTTAGACCCGAATAAGCGCCTCTCGATGGAGCAGATCTGCCGGCACAAGTGGATGAAGCTAGGCGATGCCGATCCCAACTTTGACAGGGTGAGCTATACTACTTGCCTTGAGGAACTCTCCTTAGAGCTGCTGCAGTCTCTTTTGCTTGTGATTGTAACCCAGCCATGACCAGAAGAGATGAGCATTAGGAACAAACATGTGTAAATTGTAGCAGCAAAAAAGACTGTAAAAGCCAGTTGATTTGCTAGAGAATGGTGACAATGATTCCCTGCCATTTATCCCCAAGTCATTGCGTTTTGTTTTATTTTGTTTTTGTTTTGAGGTAGTACAGCCCACAGGCTGTGGGTCACTCACCACCATGGGGATGTCTCCTTTCTCTTGTCTTAGTGTGCTCAGTTCAGTGTCTTCTGTGGCACACCTTTATTTAAACCACTACAACCATCCCAGGTACCCAGCAGATTCAGGAAATGGGAGTCTTATCTGCTCAAAGATGATCATCAGAGCTGTATCACTTAGATGTTGTCTAAGGCCAAAAGCATACATGGAACAACATGGTAGCTGTATATGATATGCCGTATTGATGTGGTCAGTTGATGATTTGACAGCTTGTCACCTCATGTTGCAGTTAATAGCTGAATGCCAACAACTGAAGGAAGAAAGACAGACAGATCCCCTGAATGAAGATGTCCTCTTGGCCATGGAAGACATGGGACTAGACAAAGAGCGTACACTACAGGTATCTAGGAAGAAGTGGAGGACAAAGTGAGATATAGCAGTCCTTCCCCTCCAGCCTTCTATACTTTTTTCTTCTTTCTGAGAACTTGGGTCTTTTTGCTTTCTTCCTTTTTCTTCTTCCTCTGCCCCTCCTGGGCCTGGGAAGGAAAGAAAGTGCTTTGGTCTTCTGATGTTATTATTGAAAGGGCTTTGGTCAATGACAGGCCATTTCATCAGGGTTTTTTACTTTTTTCCCTTCTCTCTTGGTAGTCATTAAGATCAGATGCCTATGATCACTATAGTGCAATCTACAGCCTGCTGTGTGATCGACATAAGAGACATAAAACCCTGCGTCTCGGAGCACTTCCTAGCATGCCCCGAGCCATGGCATTTCAAGCACCAGTCAATATCCAGGTGGGCAATATCTCCAGCGACCTAGTTCAGGACAAGTAACACCAGGGGGTAAGGGTTAGCTGCTGCTCACCATCCCCAAGTCAAAGTTTCCTCTTCTTCCATACTCTGCCATCTCTTTCTTTTGTCAGAGGCCAATCAAGATTCAGATCTTCCTTTGACAGAGGATGGATGGCAACAGTTACTAGTTTCTTCTTTCTTTTTAAGAAATTGCAAATCATAACCCTTTCTAAAAAGAGTACCTCTATATTGTGGCTTCTAAGGGCAAAGGAACCAAAGGCTTTAGCAATCCACACTACTTTAAAAAAAAAAAAAAAATTTCCCTCAAGTGTTTACGTGTGTGTGCGTGTCTGCATGTCACTCCTTTCCAGGCGGAGCAGGCTGGAACGGCTATGAACATAAGTGTTCCCCAGGTGCAGCTGATCAACCCAGAGAACCAGATTGTGGAGGCAAGTAGCAACATCTGCTGGTCACCAGCTGCACCCACTTGCCTTCCTAGAGCTACATGTTCTTTCCTTCCTTCTTATTTCTATTAATTGTATTTCCCTCCACTTTAGCCGGATGGGACATTGAACTTGGACAGTGATGAGGGTGAAGAGCCCTCTCCTGAAGCCTTGGTCCGTTACTTGTCAATGAGGAGGCACACAGTGGGTGTGGCTGACCCACGGTGAGTATCTGGGCAACTCAATATCATTGCAAAGAACTGCCACATGGCACATCTTCCCTACTTCTTGGTATCTACCAGATGAGTTCCAAGTAAGTGACCAAGATGAATTTAACGCATCAGGACGCTGCTAGATCAGAATTGATTTGACTGCAGAATTTCACAGAGTTATCCCAATTAATCACAGTACTCTGGTGAGGAGTATGAGAGGCCCTTTGCCCACAAAGATTGAGGTTTTCCAATCTGAGTCACCCAGAAGTACTTCTTAAAATTCACCCAACTTGGACAACTTTTAGAGATGACGTTTGCCACATGTTCATCTAGGAAGACAGGACAAATGATAAGATATAGCTTATATATCTGGACAGTTGAAATTAAGTGAATAAGAATCCAGAAACCCGCCAGTTCTCCCACGTGTGTCCCCAAAACTATTGTTCATGGTGTTCCCGATGCCCTCATTATGGGGAAATGGACTATAGGCTGGCTTCCTCCATTTTTGTTCTACAGATTATGGCAAGAGTTCTCCTGAGAGTTCAACTAGGGTCAAAGCTGGTTTTCGTACAAATATCTGTTTTCTCTTAGTGAATTTCGAGAAGAGATTCCCCTGGCCGCTGACTTGCTTGCTTTATATTCTTTGTTCTCAGGCTGTGATCACGTAGACAATAGGGGGAACATTCTGGCTCCACAGAAAGTGTCAGCTGCAAAGGGGTGGAGTCCTGAGTTGCTGCTAGTGGAAAGATCTCTTATTTTAAAGTCTGCTGTAAAACCTACTCGGGTAGCATGACAGCCCTGTACATCCAGTACTTGTCTGTCCTGGCAGCACTGAGGGAGTAATTGCATTCCTTCCTTGGTGAATCAGTTGCTACCTCAGGCAGCCATTGTCTTAGAGGATGGCTCATGCTGTCCAGAAACTTGCGGTTCACATCCAGGCTTTGAAAACCCGAACTGGCCAAGAGCCAGTGTTTCCTCCTGGCTCTGAGCTGTGGGTTTCAATATTTGGTTGATGACAATTAGTCATCCCAGACCCATGTAGTAAAATGATGGAGAGACCAATTCTACACATTAGGCTTCTGCTTTGCTTTGGGATTTTAGAGAAAAATACAAATTTAGGAGAAAAGTGAAAAAATAAACTGTACTAAACATAGCGGTGTCATCAGGTTCGGGATTAAACACTTCTGAATAAGAAGACTCACCACACCTCTCCGTCTCCCTGTTTTCTGTCAGCACGGAAGTTATGGAAGATCTGCAGAAGCTCTTGCCTGGCTTCCCCGGAGTCAGCCCACAGGCCCCGTTCCTGCAGGTGGCCCCTAACATGAATTTGATGCACAACTTGTTGCCCATGCAGAACTTGCAGCCAACCGGGCAGCTGGAGTACAAGGTACTCAGGTGTGGGAGAGGGTTTGCCCAGGAGCAAATCTGAGCTTCCTTTGAGAGGATTTGGGGGAACCTTCCCCAGGGTTTGCTTAGAAAGATTTCACTTCATTTATTTATTTTTGCCTTTTTGAGACAGGGTTTCACTATGCAGTTCAGGCTGACCTTGACCTCACTGTGTAGCCCAGGCTGGCCTTGAACTCACAGCAGTCCTCCTGCCTCAGCCTCCCAAGTGCTGGGTTTACAGGCGTGCACCACCACGCCCGGCCCAAGATTTCGTTTTTAAAGCCGCTGGAATGAATCAGAGAATCCCTTCATTTAGAAGATTAGAGTGCTGCTGTTCTCACCCCTTCAGATCCTCACCTCCCCAGTCTGACCCGCCACTCTCCTTCTGGCAGGAGCAGTCTCTGTTACAGCCGCCCACTCTGCAGCTGCTGAATGGAATGGGCCCCCTTGGCCGGAGGGCATCAGATGGAGGAGCCAACATCCAGCTGCATGCCCAGCAACTGCTGAAGCGCCCACGGGGACCCTCCCCGCTTGTCACCATGACACCAGTGAGTAGCAGCACAGGTCCCAAATGACTTTCAGAGGTTTTGTTTTTTTTTTTTTTATTTTAAGGATAAAAGGAGGGAAACATTAACAGACATACAACATTTTACAATATATCACAAGCACAATACAGAGCTTGGAGTGAAATACCAACCCTCTTTCAGAGGTTTTGGATAAAGAGGTCGTGAGCCTAGAGTTGGGAACCAAGGGCCAACCTAGATGTCTGAATTTCTTCCTTCTCCAAACATTTAATGCTCAGTGTATTCCCATTTCTTCAGACTTTTCCAGTGTTTATTTTTTGACTAACGCCTTTACTTCCTCAGATCATTTCTCCTCAGAAACCTGTTCTCCTTAGAACCCTGTTCTCGGGGAGCACGGCTCAGCAGGCCGCGTACAGGCAGCCCGGTTAAGTACAGCTGCACTCCGCTGCGTGAAGGCTGCAGCCGCGGCCTCACCCAGAGCGTCTTACAGAGAACTTTCCCTGACGGAAGGTGGTTGAATCAAACAGTGCTCTCTGGAACTACCTTTTAGACTGGTTTCCAAAATTATCATCTCACCAAGACTTTGTCCCTTATAGCAACACCAGACATTTTTAGTACACCCTGAATCGCATGATTATTTGGCCCAAACCTAGTTAATCGCTATCTTTCAATCACATTAAAGATTTGTAATGTGTAACGGTCACATTTAAAGACTTATTTTCCCTCCCATAGGTTCTGCTTATTTCTGATTATTTTTTGGTTGTACACCATTCATTCATTCTCATACCACCATAAGATTGGATACTAACTGTATATCCATAGTCTTTACGAAATGTTTTAGGACAGTGCTTCTTCAGTTGTCTGTAGTTGAGCCCCACTTCCCCTCTTCAATCCAGCATGGATTGCTACTTCTGTAAAATGTAATAAAAGTGAATAAAAAATGAAATTTTAAAAACATAAAGTGAAATTTTATATAAGCTAATTTTGTAAGTCAAGTCAACAGAGTTACTCCATGGAATTGTTATAAAAGTGTCTAGAAGCTTATTTTTGATTTCTTTCTTATTTTCTTCCCCGTTTTTGTACCAGAAATTGAACTCAGGACCTTGTGCTTGCCAGGCTGGCACTGTGCCTCTGAGCTATATCCCCTTACTTTTGATTTCTGTACTTACCTTAGCATGGATTGATAGCAAAACACCTTGTGGACTGGCATGAGTTCGTGGGCTGTACTTTCTGTAAAACTACAGAATTTGTATTTATATCGTAGTTATGGATGTACTGGGTTTATGATATGGGAATACAAGCTCAGCATTAAAATAATAGTAAAAGGCTATGTATGACTAAGCGCCGAAGTGAGTACCATGACTGTTAGGTGGCAGAGGCGTTCAGAGCAGGGAAGGTCAGTATTGGATAGGAAGGACTGGGAGCACGGTGGGAGGTGGGAGGTAAAGTGATTTATTCTGTCCACTGGGATTGTTTCTGCCAAGGTTAACAAGTGCTTGCTGATAAATCCTGTGGACATTTTTAAATCTTTATTTTTTGGATGTTCCCACTCTATTACTCACTGGTGACTTTTTTCCTTCCCTTGCAATCTTCTCCTCTTGGGGCTTCTGTGATACCACACTGTTTTCCTCCTGCCTTTCCTTTTAGTCTCCTTTTCAGATTTCCTTGCTGCCTGTCCCTTGAAGTTGACAAAACCCAGAGTTTTGTCTTAGACCTGTTCCCACCTTGCTTGACGTATTGCCTCTGCATAAGCTTGTTCTGCCCATAATTTCAGTTGATTCTCCACCTGGAATGCTCTTCTGAGTGCTTCATGTCTGTGTGTATGACTTCCTCCTGGATGGACACAGCTGGTTATCTCACAGGCACTTACAGTTTTAATTCAGCTTGTCTCAAAACCAATTTATCATAACTGTGAAACCTCTTCCTGCCCTTGGATGACAGTGAGTAGCACTACCATCCTCCTGGTTTGATGTACATGTGAGGAATGTGGAGTTTGATCTTTAACTTTTTCTCCTCCATGGGCTCTCCGTCAAATCAGTTGTCTAACACCTGTGAATTAAACATCTTCTGTCCATCTCCACCAGGACACTCAGGTCACCGTCAGCCATTACCTAGATCATCATGATGGCCTCCTAACTGGCTTACTTATATCCAGTGTTTTCTCCTGATCCCTTCCACCAGCTTTATTCACCTGGCAACTAGCTAGCTTTTTAAGATACAAGTCTTAAAACATCATGCCCTTGCTTAAAATCCTTTAGTGATTCACCGTTACCCTTCTCCAAATAAATTTCCTTGTGTTATATTCACACCCTTTGTAACTGGTCGCAGTGTTCATCCCTTGCCTTAGCTGGAGTCACTTCCTGCCCGCCTCTCTTCACTCTGCTCTTTTAGAACTGTAGTAGAGGATCTGGAAACACTGGAAGCATTCATTATGCAATGATTTCAAAACTTGTTGTTTTATAATTATCATCCATTTTTAGAAGATGTTCTTTTATGGTAATTCAAGTATGATTTTTACCCTCGTGCCTGAGGTGTGCTGATTAGGTGAGCCGCCAGACTGTGAGTGACTCTCAGGGATGCACAGCATTCCAGTCCTCATGCAGATGTGAACAAGCAGTCACAGTTACACATGCAGTGTAGTAGTTCTCATTTGACTTACATGTTTTGATGGGTCGCAGCTATTTTAAGCAGCGATTGCAGCTACCCAAGTGAATGTTAGATTTGAAAATGTACTTTCTAAAACCCAGTATGCTCTTCTGGAGTTAAGACTTTTAAACACTGGATATAACATTAATATGAAACACCAGGGCAGTTCCTAGACATTGTAGATAAACAGTTTTCTACTATATTTCCAGGTTCTTAAATACCTGCAGGTTTTCTCTTTTCTCTTAAGCCTACAAAACTGTGACCCTTTTCCTCTTTGCCTGACAGCTCCCATGTGTCCTTCAGGTCTTTGGTTAGGAGTTACCTCCCTAGAATGCTTTCCTACTTCCCAAGTGCCCCCTTTTAGATGACTTTAAAGGACTTAGTTATGTTTTTATAAATGTCTGTTTGCTAATCTCTATTCTCTACTAAACCAAAAAAAGAGTGCAAGGATTATATCTATAAATTCAAACTTTATCCTGTAACATAGTAGGCATTCAGCTATTTATGGGGTGAGTAAATGAATGAGAGTGAATAAAAGGAAGAAATTAAAATTATTATCACCTGAGCAAGGTAAAAATGAAAACATAGGTATATGAAAGTGCTATTATAACCCAAGGGTTCTAGAAAAGTTTTGTAAAAAGGAAGCTTAATAACAAATCTTGCCCTAAGCCCGGTTTGTTACAAGAGGAAGAGACATAAAATATGCTGCCACTTTGAGCTTTTCTTTCCTGTTTCTCTTCAGGCAGTGCCAGCAGTTACCCCTGTGGACGAGGAGAGCTCGGATGGGGAGCCAGATCAGGAAGCTGTGCAGAGGTAATGTGGCATCTGGCAGTGCTTGCAGAACGTCCTTGGGCAGGCTCCCCCTGCAACCAGCGAAAGGTCACCTCTGCCCAAGGAGGTGGTACAGTGCAGCTTCAACATTTGTGTGGTCTCTTTGCTCAAGCCAGATGGCATGTTCCTCCCCACATGGAAGTAACAGAAGACTACCCAGAAAATTTCATTTGTATAAACGCCATTGGAAGTCCCCTAAGTGACAGCAATAACCATAAGAACTTTTTCTCTTCTCCCTCCTTCCTTCCTTGCCCCCTGCCTTCATATTGCAACTCTGATAGTATTCACAAGGCACAAAGCCTGCTCCTACCTGCCAAGAACTGTTTACTGAAAAGGAATTGGAGATTTGGGATGACAGTGATCCTAGCTAGTCTGGCCATGGACCGCTGGCATGGACTCTTCCTTTCCAGGAGAATGAATACCTCTTGTACTGTTTGCTGTGCTTCTTCCACTCCTTTGTACCAACAAAGGGATATTGGGGGGAAAAAAAAAAAAAAGAATATGGGATTTGGGCCAGGGACAAATGCAAATATCCATTGTTTGCAGAACCTTGTTGAGAGATGCCTGGTTTCCAGAGAACGGCAGTGACCATCAGGCATGCTGTACTACTGTGCATTTGATCTCAGTCTCATTAGCCCTGGTCCTCAGCTCCATGCATGTCCTCTTGTGGAAGTTGTCTTATTTTCCGGGGAGGGGGTTTCACCAGAATCCAGCATGTATTTTCCCAGAAATATAGGTGTTCATCAATATTATATGTTTTCCCTTGAGGGAAGTTGAAATAAAATGGTTTTCATGGGCTCTTGGGGAAATTTTGGGTGTCTTTATCAAATGGATATTAAACCACTAATGGCTTACTCTTTGGCAAGTTTATATATCACTAATTACCCTACAGTCTGTTCACTAATTTTAGCTTAAGGTGAGATAAGGTAGTTTAGGATAAGGTAGCTAAGAATGAAATGAGACTTTTTTAAGACCCTAATAGTTGCTGGCCAGGACTTTCTTCCTACCTCCAGGAGCTCTGTATAAGAGCTGCTATTCAAAAAAAAGCTGGTCCCATGTGGAGAGCAATAATAACACCAAACACAGCGAACAGGAGTGTTGGCAAGTGGACTAGCTCCTTGTACAGCTTAGCCAATGGAAGGAAAACTGTGGTGACTTTTTTGCCTTGATGCTGTTGTTTTTATAATTTACTCACATCAGGATATATAAAGTTGTTAAATAGGTCCTTAATGATATCATGAAAAAAATGAGAGATTAGATTTACTGTCTTCTTAACCTTGAAAGAGAGCAATATTTTATCTTCTTTGTCTTAGACGTTACTTACTTCTGCTCCACCTTCTTTCTTCTTTAGATCAACATTGTAATGTCCATCAACTTTGATGGATTGGAAAGGAATAAAGACTCTCTTCTTATGCCCAAGAAGTGCAATCTTGGTGCAAAAACCATCAACCAGACAGAGGGGACTAGTATCTTAGGGACGCTGTGGACTGTGTGCGTCTGGAAGATCCTCAGAGCAAAAGTCATCAGCATGGAACTCTTGGGCCTTTGAAACTCTTCTGTTCTTTTGCCTTGCCTTTTTTTTCCTTAAAAAAATCTAAATCTTAACATGTGGTTTTATTTCTTCGTACTCTACAGAATGTTGCTTCTCCGGGATAACATTAGTTATTCTTGTCTGATGATTGAGTTGGAATCACAGGCATAGGGGAGGAGGTAGTTTTGGAACTTATCTATCCCTAAATGGAAATGTGTGTCTTCTGTGACCTGGAGTAAGGACAGCCTCAAAACCTGGGCTCAAACCTGGGTTCAGGCTTGAAGACATATGTGGAGTCCTTCCAACTATCCCCCTTGGCTTATCCGTAGGAATAGGCCTTAAGGCTAGTTTCCTCTGACTTATATTTTGGAAATTTGGAGGGAACAGAGGAATAAAATTAACACGTAGCAAAATAAGTTCTTCTGTTCAGTGGAACAAAATCAGGAAAACTGGTCCTCTTATCTTTGTGAGATATATCTGTTTTCTTTCTTCTCTTCAATGACTACTCTTAGGTTCAAAATTCAGCCACTTCAGTGATACGCCAACTTTTGTTGGCCAGTTAGACATGTGTTACTTCCATCCAGTCAGGGATCTGTTTGTCATGGAGCTCTTTTGGAGCTCTGGCTCTGTTTCATTGAGTGCATTGGATTAACTTCTGTTGCTTCTTGTGGAAGAATATTCCTGTCTGTCTTTTTTACTATGAAATGTGCTCCTGCTTGTTGCAGGTACTTGGCAAATAGGTCCAAAAGACATACACTGGCCATGACCAACCCTACAGCTGAGATCCCACCGGACCTACAGCGGCAGCTAGGACAGCAGCCTTTCCGTTCCCGGGTCTGGCCCCCTCACCTGGTACCTGATCAGCATCGGTGAGTAGCCACATGGCAGTGTGAGCTTCTTGAGGCTTATCGAACAGGCCCCCTTCTTACTAGTCTCCCGGTGAGGGCGACTAGCTTGGAGCAGAAATCAGCTGTCATCCTGAATGCTCATCTTCTCAGCTCCTTGTAGTCCTTGTACACAGGGCCCAGGCTTTCCACTGGGCCCTGGAGCAGTGTGAGATTCCTCTTTCCCATTGCCTTTTTGTCTGCAGTTGATTCCCATGATTCAGAATCTTGACTCATAGATTAATTGAACTTGAGACCTTCAAGGAAATGAAGCCCTTAAAAAGCCAACTGGAAATGAAAGGATTTATAGCAATAACAATAGACTTGATTTTTAATAATTCATCACTGGGAAAAGAATGAGCACTTCATGTCATGTTCCCACTGAGCAATAGCTGGAATGTGGAGGAAGATACATCCTTTGTGAGCGGCAGGACAAGGATCTTGCATCCTCTTGAGTGATGCACCTGAGAAGTCATTCTTTCAGGGTTCTGATACAAAGTCTTATGCTAGGTCTCTGTGACATGGATAGTTCATTCTCTTGAGGAAATTAATAACAAGTTTTAGCTTTCTTGACCAGGAAAACTTCACTGACTCTTAGCCTAGAAGCAAGGAGAACGACACTTTGCTAGAAGAGGAAGATGGTTGTCTTCTGTGAATATCTTGATAACTAAAAATCGTAGTTATTTCCGTTCTGAAGCTATTCCAAGCTCATGCCCCCCACTCCAGAGTCACCATCAGTGGCTAGAATTTATTTCATTTCAGCCTTTTGGGGGAGAGAATGAAAAGCATTCCTACTTGTGAAGATTGGGAAATAAGCAGACCCTAAGGAAGTAAAGATTACTTGTGTGTTGTTGGGAAGTCTGGCCAGCAGCTCACACAGGCAGGCTTGACACAGAGTTTTTGTTGTGCGAGTTCCCCACACGCATCAAGTAGTCAGCAGAGACGGGTGAACTCTGAGTAGACTGAGACATAATCAGTGCCACGCTGGAACTCTGCGAGAGGGAAGATAAGCTTATAAGTAACTGTGAATAGTTCAATAAAAATGGTCTGTTAGCAGTAGCAAGAACGAAGATTCTCAATAAAAGGCTTTTGGCACAGTGTACACATTTCTAGTGTGCATTCAAGAGCATTTGGATTCTTGAAGAGCTGCCCTCTCCTCCACTTGTAAATTTCCCGTGGCTTGTCATAACTCTGAACTCTACACCGGTTACCTAACAGGTGCCTGTGTCTTTTCTCTCATCTCCATCTTTCATCTATGTTTGACACTTAATTTTTTAGCCCTCATCAGGGTCTGTGAGCTTATGTCCTTCAGGTATTTTTATTTAACTCTAGATGTCCTTCAGAAGTTATTCTTTCAGGGAAATGAAGATCAGCACATTTCCTCAGTTACCCTTAGTCACAGACCCTCTATTATGTTGACATTTGTTGCTAGAGGACCCGTAGCTCGGCATGTGCAATATCCATCCTGCCTACCGTTGTTGTCAAGGCTTTGCCTGCTAGAAATCTTCATCTGTTTTCATGTGAACACTCTTGGTAGAGTGTTCCCTGGGTTTCTGTGGCCAAGGTAGTTTGAATTGGAAACAAATGAATGATTATAAGTGGCCGATTGGAGACAGTCGAGCATTTGTGTAAACTCAGCATTCTTGGTGGAGTTGCTAGCTACACATGCAACACAGGAGACTGCAGTTAGTCTGCAGGGGAAAAGAGAAACTTTCCAAGGCCATAAGACACTGGAAATGAGTGACCTGGATAGGTTATTAAATTTCTCTCATATTCTGGAGGAAATGATCACTCAGGGGGAGAGAGAGAGAGAGAGAGAGAGAGAGAGAGAGAGAGAGAGAGAGAGAGAGAGAGAGAGAGAGTGAGAGAGAGTGAGAGAGAGTGAGAGAGAGTGTGTGTGTGTGTGTGTGTGTGT